TCAAACCCGACAAAATGAATTCCCAACAAATCCCCAATTAACGTCCCTGGAGACACACCCAATGTTCCACCGAGACAATCCAGAGACATCCAAAAGGACAGATTCCGTTGCGAAAAGACATCCCCAAAGACGTGCCCCAAATCATCCAAAAAGACACACCCCGGAAGTCCAGAAGATCGAAGAACAAAAGCAACGACACGCCAAACGTGGATTCCCCCAAAAACATCTGAAACACATCCTCAAAGAATGCTCAAGACATCTCCAAAGCCATTCCTGAAAGCATCTGCAAAGAGTCCACATTCCATAAAATGGAGCTCGCCCCTCCAAAGTACTGCAACTGCCACGATTTGAAGTGCGCTTCCTGCGAAATTGAACACGCACAGCCGCCAATCTTGCTTGCGCTTCCCACGAAAACCCAACGTACCACATCACGTACACAGAAGTGGGGACTGCGGCGCCAGCGTGATTTGGACCAACTGTTATTAACCCAATAAAACATGCCAATCGCACGACAAGGGCGGCAATCATTGCTCGCCATTCCGCACACACGTCGGAGACATCTCTGGAAAGCAGATCGCAATGGAAAGCGGGCGAGACAGCGAGACCTCCCACAACACGGTGCTTGCGCAGCTAAACGATGCAACTGTCAAAGCTGCAATTCGCAGGTGCACTGCAATCGCGAGTCATTCCACAGCTCCCCACGGTGTGTGCGACGCGTGACAGCTTTACGAACACAAGCGGTCAGCGCATTGATTTTGGTCACCTCCCAACCCGAGACCCACAACATTTTTAGCCTTCTGCTACAGGAACCCTTCTGCTACACATCTTGGAAAAAGGCTTTGCCCACGAGCTGCGGAAAGCGGTTCCGGAATCGAACTTTGGGAAATGCGAAAACAAACAAAAAACACGTCGCCTTGGCATAGGTGTCCATAGTCTGCTTCAGCTGCTGAACCTCATGACTGGATTTGTCTTCGATGTGCGTGAGGCGCACAAAAATCTCAGAGACGTAGTGGTCAAAGAAGGCCTTCATCTCAGAGAGTATGTTGTGATTCATCGTGCCAATGGAACTCAGAATCTGCTGGTCACCTCTCTTCACTGCGTCTTCCACGCAAGCGAGATCGCAGTAAACTTTGGCCATGGTGTTCTGCAGTGGGTTGCAGTCAGCAAAGTCGCTCTCAATGAAGCGCTTGTTGCGGTAGTCTTGTACAAGCTCGATCGCATACAAGGCGCCAGCTTGTGTCCCAGCACCTATGGATTCACAAATTTGGCTGACTTCGTTCTTGGTTCCTGCATAGGCAGCTATGGCTCCGGCCAAGGTTATGACCCCAACAATGGCGGAGCAAGCGCTCTTGTAGGTCGGCTCAAAGTAGTTCTCGAGGAAGTTTGTTCTCAACTCAGCTTCCCTGTCCCAATTCGCCATCTTCCAGCCTCGATTGATGTCACGGGTGCTGCAGTCCCAAACTGCATCAGCGGTCAAGCCAGGAAAGGATGGATTTGGCTTGGACCATACCTCAGCGGAAACTTCAGGGGCGTTCGTGCGCACTTCGGTATATCACCTATTGCGCTTGAGACAATTGTCAAATTTTACTAGGTGTCACGGAAGCTGCTCAATGCAATGGCAATGATATCCAAGCAAGATTAGCCAAGTTGCGAATGGCTCTTGCCAATCCGTGTTCTTCTTTCCTGGTACCCCGTCTTCTCCCCAAGTTTCCACTGCCGCAGCGCCAGTGCTGTCCACTCCGAGAGCATGATAGCAAGCACCCACAACATCTTTCTGTTTCTCCTGATTGCTGAGGTAGTGCTCGCCCTCAACAGGCTCAGCACCAATGATCTTTTCCCGACTCTCACGTGCCAGGCAGTGAGGAGCGTAGCTCACAGGCTCTGGCGACCAGTTCAAGACGGTCTCTGTGACGCTGCGCCTCTCCAACTCCTTCCTCTCGCCTTCGAAAGGCTTGAACTCCGCCTCCTCAAACTTTGCCATCTCAAACTTGGCCTTCGGGATCTTTGGCAGCTTCTTGAACTTTTTATTGCCCAAGCCGCCGTTGCTTCCGGCCCGGGATTTGGCCCCCTGCCCCTGACCCAAAAGGCTTTGGTCCATCTGATCACGCCCGACCTCCACTGCCCCATTTCCCGTAAAGGCGGTGGTCATTGGCTCCAAAGGCGTGTAATCCACACCCTCTTGCAGCCCCGCACCCAACTCCAAAGGATGTGCAGCGACAGAAGAGGAGCACAAAGGTGCAAAAGACTTCGACTTCAAGCACCACGCGCCTGAAAGCCGATCAAAGGACACCTTCATGGCATCGGGGTCAATCTTGGTCCAACAATCCGTGGAGCCTCTAGTGCGCTTTCCGTTGCAAGTGGTATTCTTCCTATAGTAGCATTTGAGTCCTTGCCAATTGAAACCTCCACACTCGGTATGAGCTGCGCAAACTTTGCCGCAGATTGCCTCAGCCAAGCCCCTGGGCGCATAGTCCCATCCTCAGATCATATTGCCAAGAGTCCTGAAACCGGCCAAGGCCCTAATCCAAGCAAAGTCTCCCTCGCCATTGGCCCCGATGAAGAGATTAGCGTCGGAAGTACTGCAACCATTTGCTGTGGCACCACACATCGTGTTCGGCTCCAGGGAGAATGGGAGGCTCCAGTCCTGGCAGGCAAAACCGAGAGCGCCTATCGATCAGCGCGACCGAGGATTGTGCACTGCTGCCACATTCATATGCTCAGCGCATACATTGGGATTGAATGATCAGTGTGACCTATGCACTGACATGGAGCGGCGCAATTTTGCATGTCCTGTCGTGGCATGCGTGATGTGATGTATAATTGTATGTTGTGACAAACAGCGGAGTAATACGATCTAAGGCAGTGTTGTGTAATACAGGTATGATGTCTGAAATTGGTGCTGGGTGGCGTGATGCGTGCCGTGGCACGAGATAGCGCGGCGATGACATGCAGGCGCCACGCTGCGCTCTGACACGTCTGACGCACATTATAGCTACCGGAGGCGCAAGGCTATAACAACCCGCCTTGTATGCGGTAATGATAAATTAAGGAAATCCAAAGAAACAATGTTTTTGGGGCTGGCTTGGGAGGTTGTGAACTAGACGTCACAAGCCACCGTATTGTTGTCGCACTGCCATTTCAGAAAACATCAGGTCAAGAACCCGCTCAAGTCTTCCTGGCTTCCCAGCCCGGCCATTTCAAGGCCTTGGGGTGTTGCTTCCACTTACCTCCTCAGCCGTCCCGTCACCCAACGTTGCCGCACAACCCACTTAGACACTTGCTGTTCGGCCAAGGATCTGGCGGCTCCGCTTGGCCCACAACAACCCATGCCGTTCTTGCTGTTGACACGTGTTGGTTGAGGCTCATCGATTTGAGGGACATTGACGAATCATACTGGCATGACCTTGGGTACTTTACATTATGCACAAACCGACATTTCAGACGTGTACACACACACACACACACGCGCAGCGCGTGCAGGTACAGTATGTGCATACACCCACCCACACACACACACACATGCGCGCGCGCACACAGACGTGCGCGTGCAGGCATAAGCAGTTTTGGAGCCGACTCAACTGATATTCACTCAACGTGCATGAGCATCCTGGTGTGGCGACTGCTTCTTAGAGAAACACCTCAATATAAAAATGGCTTCGCGCTGACAGAAGAAGGCTATCACCCCGAGCCAGCCTTCGCCCTGCTCAAGTCCGGTCGGCCCTCCGTGCGGCCTGCAGGACAATACGTTCCTTCCCATAACCTTAGAGCTGAGCCAGCAAACACCAGTAAAACTGCAAGCCAGCAAGCTAGCCATTTAATGTCTCTCCAAAGGAAAGTTTAGGAGCACAAATCAAGAGTTGGCTGAGTTGCTTAGCATCATCTTCCAACAGTGGCCCTGTCCGCACGCTGACTGGAGGCGCCAGTGGCAAGGCACAACAAATGAAGTTGTATCGAACTTCCCCTTGCAGCGGCTCACCCGCAGCCACCTCCGGAACTTGCGCCTCCAGCAGAAACCGCTTTAGGCCAGTGTCTCGAGGGCACTCAAGTCGATGATGCCCCAACGCCGACAAATCGCTCAAGTGGCCAACCTCCCCCCATTCGGTTTCTATTTCTTGGCACTCACCAATACCCTGAACAGAGCAGCATGTGTAGGTATACTGGTAGCCAGCTCCATCTTCACCTTGACAAGATTTGTAGGCAAACCGCGTCATGAGCGTTCCTGCTTCGCAATCAGCTCCAACATCATGTCTATCAAGTTCCCACAGGTGTGGCGAGCTGCTAGTATGGGCGATACAGCGAGTGGCCTTTTGTGAACAAGCACCTGTGGAGCCGACAGGAACAATCGTTTCGCAGCCGTAGAAGTACCGATAATAATCGGCATGGTTGCAAGAGCTGTCTTGTCGGAAGGAGTAGGAGCTCAGAACTTGTCCTGGGCCACAGCCAACGAGGTCCTGGCCAATGTTCAGGTTGGGCAAGTACTTGTTACGTGCATGGACACAAGAGCCAGGTTGAAGGTTCTGCCCAGACGCGAGTTGTGTCCATTTGGCTACCAAAGGCGCTAAGTAGTCCAAGCTGAAGACTTGATGGATATGTTGCTGGATGTCACTCTCTGGAGCACAGTCGACCATCTTGCCGGTCATGGGCTCAACACACGCAAGACCAATGCTTTTTCTGTTGCGATATACCAGCTGAGCGTTGCCTGTGGCTTGTTGGGACTGCAGCAACTCCCAACCTTTGCTGAAGGGAGTGCCACAGGTCTCCCAAAACACTGAATCCTCCCTGGAAATGTGAATCTTATTGATGCCGGTACATCCAGACGCGAGCTCTCCCGAGAACTGCAAGCGACCCTTGCCTCCACTACCACGAACGAAAATCGACTTTGTCACGGATTTGAACTGGCCCTTGGGGACTACTTTCTGGGTGCTGGAAGCATCCACCACTTGACCCTCTGTTCCAACCATGCAGCCAGTTGTGTCGATATCTTTGCGACTGTCGCCGTAGGTAATGGTGACCATGTATGGGGTCCCTTGCTCACTCGCCTCTAGCTCAATCTCCCATCGAGAACCAGAGCAATCGTTGTTGGCATCGATCATCAGGCTTTGATCTGATGCGCTAGTTACCAGGTCACTGATGCTGACGTCCTTCACATTGACAGTGACATGTTGACCACCTGTCTCCTTGAATTTGAGGGGAACCTTGCCAGATTCCCGCGCCGTCAATTTGATCGAGCTGCTTGTGTACGAAGCTCCATACTCAAGGGCAGCTGAGCTTGCGCTGCCAAGTGATACTTGCACCTGACCATTCCCCTGGGTGCACACGCGTGTGAAACGGCCACTGCCCCTTCTTCGGCCAAAGTAAAAGTTGTTGCACGATGAGGGGGGCGAGTTTGGGCAGTAGCCTCCAGAAGAATAGCAAAGGCAGTCTATAGCAGTGTGGCTTGATGGGCAATTGTTTGCGGCCGATCCGCCATCTGAGTGCCGTACTTGCAGGGCCTTGTGGGCTGGAGAGCATCGAACCTGAGCTTTGGTCCGCGCAGACAAACAGGATGCTTTCACTTTGCACGTGCCTGTCCCAACGCACCAAATCTTGCATCCGTCGGCATTACACTCCAGGACGCGAATAGAATCCTGCTCGTTGCTCATGGTGGCACTGGCAGCTCCAATAACATTGTAGCCCGACGGGCACGTAGAATAAGCTGACCAAGCATATGGATTGCCGGTTGTCTCCGATCCGTGAGTGACGCGAGAGTCGCGCACGCAAGCCGTCTTGATCGTTAAACCGGTTGAAGCGGCTCTTGCTTTGCATCTGTTGTGTTCGCCTTCCAAGCCGGCGTCAAAAGGAGAGGCGGGGCCGGCGGGGCAAAACAAATGTTCGACTGTGCCAGTTTCAATCGCAATCGTCCCCAATGGGAATAGGTCAAAGTGCTTGGCAACTATGCTCGTGTTGAAATTTTGAGGGTCTTGTTCCACGCAGCAACAAAAGCATTTTTCTCGTCCCGCCAGTGACACGTACTCTTTTTGCAACTCCCGGAAGAACACACACACACACACAAACACACAAACACACAAACACACAAACACACAAACACACAAACACACAAACACACAAAGAACACACACCCACACACCCACACACCCACACACCCACACACACGCAAAAAGTCGCTATGGCTGTGTTTTTTGCGAGTGACAAACAATATTCCGGAGAGAAGTGGCACGGCCATCTTCCACGCTGCCCTGCAACTCCATGTGCTTTAGTCCCGTTGCGCTCATGCCAGAAGGGCATGTGGACCAACCGGTATACTGCCCCCCGGAGTTGGTGGATGCAGTGTTGCCAGTTCCCACATCTGAGGTCGAGGCCTTCAGGCAGTAGGGCCTCACTTTGCATCGGTCGTTGGCGCATCTCACCTTGCAGCCGTTGTTGCTGCAGGTGAAGGACTTGATCACCGGCTTCTTCGGGCGGCAATTGAAGGCGATGCTGCGCCGGCGGCTGTACTCCGTATAGCCAGACATCAAGCCGTCGCTTCCACAGCTCCAATCGAAATAATCGGAGTTGGTGTTGCCCTTGCAGTTGTATGTGTTGCTGCCTGGACCTTGGATCAACGAAGCAAATGTTGGACCGAATACGGAGGGCTTGGCTCATGTTGGCCACTTAATCAATTGGCAAGAGGGTACTATATGCAAATGCCAACGCATATTCTCTACCGGCCCTAAAACAGAAGGGGCACGTGACGACGAAGAGTTTCTCCCAAGGAGAAAGAACCAACCCTATTGTAACCGGTTTCGTGCAAAAACTAGACCAGCACTAAACAAATCCGAAACTAATTCTGACCAGCCTCTCAAAGTTCAATAAGTTCCTCGTTCTCTTTCTCTTATTTCTCTTCTCGGTTTCATTTGTTTGTCGCCTTGTCTTTTCCCTTCTCTTTGAATTTGTGTTTATCTTTGTATTTGTCTTTCTTTTTCCTGTATTGTTTTTTTCTCCTCTCTCTCCCTCCCCAGCCTGCAAAAGTCCAAAATGCAAAAAACCACACCGAGTTGTTCAAGGTCGACCCCCCAAATTCCGACGGGTTCTGCAAGCAAAACGAAAACGCAAAGAACAACTTTTGGTAGTCGCGCACGCTGAACAGCGCGCGTGGTTTTGAAGCTCGACCCCCCGAAAGCATGCAAACGAAGCATGCGAAGCGGCGCCTGCTTCTCTGGTTTCCTTTTTTGCTCAGCTGTGTCACGCTCAGTGCTTCTATTCTTAAACACCACGCGCAAGCCCCCTTCGGAAGTTCTTGTGGGAAGTCCTCTGACTCAACCCACCACGTCTAGTCAGTTCTGCAACCAATCAGCTGCGCGCAGTCATCAGCTGACTGGATCTGACCCCCCAAATTGTTTCGGCGCTTTGTTCTGGGGCCTCCCAAACTGTTGAGGGGCCGATTTGATCCCTGTTCAGGCCCCTGTATTCTTCAGCGCAAGTTGCTGTCCTCGAAGCAAATCTTGTCCGCCCACGTGCCGGTTCTTCCATTCATCCTTCTCACACCAGCGGCGTTATTGAAGTTGGTTGACCTTCTTCGGCCATGTTCATCCCTCCGTCGACTATCCCTCCGGCGTCGACTCTGCCAGCAATCGCCGTCCTTGTCACTTCCGTTTGGGGTTCTCACCCAGCTGCCATCTGAGCATTGCATCTGATAAATCTCATCCCACCTTGGCCAACAAGTGTTTGGGAAGAAAATCCCGCCAACTCCTGTTGCTTTCATGCGCGTGTTGACTGAAAGAAGCTGTCTCCATTCAGTCCAAGCGGCTTGCCTTCTGCACACACATCAATCCGGGTGATGTAGGTGCCTGCTGGACAGCTTACTGTACTGCCTTTCGAATTGCCACCCGCTCCGGCTTTGTTAAGGCTCCAATCGTCGCGGTTGGTTGTGGGGTCATCCAAACTCCACAGCCGTGCCGGCATGACAGCCACATAGCCACTTGGGCATGATGCCTCACTGGTCCAACTGTCTTGGTTGCCGTTGCTGGTTCTCTCACTGCCGACTTCCGTGTCCTCAGGAAAAACGGCAGGAACAAAGCGCCAGAGAGATGCTGAAAACAAACACGGGCCAATATGCGTTGGGATACAAGCATAACCAGGGTACCAACAAAATACGCTGCAAAGCGCTCGCAAACGCACGCACAAAGACACACACACACACACACGGACAGACAGGGACACACAGAGACACACACACACAGAGACTCACAAACACACACACAGAGACGTGCACAAACACACAAACACACAGGCACACAGGTTGGTTGGTTGTGGTTGTTTGGTTGGTCGGTTGGTCGGTTGGTTGGGCTGTGGGCCGGCTGGGCTGGGTTGGTTGGTTGGGCTTGTGTTTGGCTTTGTTTCCACAGACAGACAGAGACCCACAGGGACACAGAGACACGCAGGGACACACAGAGACACACAGGGCCAACAGAAGGGACACACGGAGACACACAGAGACACATTGAGTCACACAGGGACGTGCAGACACACGCACAGACACACACAGACACACAAATAATTACACAAAAAAACGCCGAGACGCACGCACACACACAGGCACACACAACACACAGGCGCACGCAGAGAGACACACGCAGACACACAGCGACACACAAAGACACGCAGAGACACAGAGACACAGAGACACAGACACACACACACAAACACACAGAGTTACACACGCCCACGCGCCCCCGCCTGCGCAAGCACACGCACGCACTCGCACGAACTCGCACGCACCCGCACGCAATCGCACGCAATCGCACGAAATCGCACGCGATCGCACGCAATCGCACTCAATCGCACGCAGTCGCACGCAATCGCACGCGATCGCACGCACAATCGCACGCAATCGCACGAAATCGCACGCGATCGCGCTCAATCGCACTCAGTCGCACGCAATCGCACGCAATCGCACGCACGCACGCACGCGCGCACGCACGCGCACGCACGTCAGCACGCCCGCGCGCGTGCGCGTACGCACGCGCGCGCACACGCACACGTGCATGCACGACCACACGCACACACGCAACGACACACACACACATGCACATGCACACATGCACACACACACACACAAACGCGCGCGCACGCGTAGAAAAGCAAACGCGCGCACGAACGCACGCATGCACGCGCACAAACACACACCCACACACTATCACACACTTACACGCGCGCACGCATGCACACACCCCACACAAGGGTACACGGACACACAAGGAAGCACGGACACACGGACGCACGCGCACACAAGCACACGCACGCATTCGCAAGCGCACACACACACGAGAACACACAAACACACAAACACACAAACACACAAACACACACAAACACACAAACACACAAGCACACAAGCACACAAACGCACAAACACACAAACGACTACACAAACACACAAACACACACAAAAACAAACACACACACACACAACCACAAACAGACACACACACAAACAAACACACACACAGACACACACACACACACACCCACGCACACACACACACACTCACAACGCACGCACAAACACACTCACGCTCAGACTCACACACACACACAGAAAAACACGTAAGACTCTGGAGACCTCCGCTTGCACTGCTCCATGCGTGTGCAACATGCATGACACATTGTCCGCCCAAGCTTCAGCACCGATGGCGTTCTGGCCCCAAGCTCGACACTTTCCGTCTGCCGTGGCTTCCGTGCCAAGCAGTGTAGCTTTCGCGCCAAAGCTAGGCACCTCAGTTCGGAGCAAGGAACGACAACGTTCGCGCACGCACGCGCCTATGTGGCACGAGGGGCACGGGGAAGGGCAATAATCACCGTGCTGCAACGGGTCATATTGAATCGCCAACATCATGTTGAACGTCACATTAGATGCTGTTGCTGGACCTACGCCGCAGTTGCTTTAGTCGGCTGCTTCTCAGAGTAGCGATCAATGAACACGTGTAGGGAGTGAGGGAGGGAGGAAGGGAGGGGGAGGGGAGGGGGGGGAGGACATCGTTGCATGAGTGAGGGACTGAGTGAGTTGGTGAGCGAAGGAGCGAGCGAGTGAGCGTTCTGGATTCATGACAACCAAAACGCCAGGAGGCTGCGAGCCAAAAAGCACACCATTTGACAACAGCTGAGCGATCAGCTTGGCCAGCTGGGTGGCGGTGCGACAGAGGCGGAAGGGATAGCGACATTCTGCAAGTACGAGTCAAGATCCGGCACCGCGGCAACATGGCAGCGAAGGCACGACGGCGCGGAATCTGGCTGGGAAAGCGGCGAATGGAAGACACGGATCTGTGTGGAGTGACCAGAAAGGGACTTGCGTATCTTGCGTCATGCAAAAAGAGCAACTGTGCGATTATGGTATTTCCCCCGAGCAACATGTGGGGGTTGTACAAAATGACTTTGCCTGGGGCCCCTCTCCCACAGGGTCCATTCGCGGAGCAACGTTGGGCATCGCCTGTTTCGAGTTTCGCGGTCTGATCTCAAGCGCTGGCCTTCCTGCATACAACTGGCAACAAGAAGGAAGCGACGTAGCGCGGATGGGCAGGGGCTCGCTGGTGAGCCCGCGCAGTCAAAATCAGCGCGATGTGCGTCGGCACTATGCAACGTCTAAACTCGAAATAATTTCGTTGCCCTTTCGCAGTCCAATCGCCGGCCTTTCGCGGCTCGCGTTTTACCAATCGCGCTGTTCAGCAAGCTGCCGCTGTTCATAAACTTTAGACATGAGAAAGGATTCCCTCGTGTGGCTGAGAAGGCGCCAGTGATCTTTGACTCGCGTTCACCCTCAACCGAACACCCTAAGCATGAAGTCCTTGCCACCCAAAGCTGAGACCGAGGGTCAAGGTCATGATTGCGGAAGTGACAGATGGGAGTCAAGGAGAAAAAATGAGCGTGAGAGTGAGGGGTGAGGGAGTAAGTGTGAGAGAGAAGGCGGGTGGCTGGGCGGGTGGGCGGGTGGGCGGGTGGGCGGGTGGGCGGGTGGGTGGCTGGGTGGGCGGCTGGGTGGGGTAGTCGGGCGGGCGGGCGAGTGAGCGTGCCAGAGGGAGAGAGACAGAGAGAGAGAGAGAGAGCGAGAGAGAGAAGAGTTACCCAAGAAAGAAAGAAAGACAGAAAGAAAGAAAGAAAGACAGAAAGACAGAAGAAAGAAGAAATACAGAAGAGGAGCACACAAAGGGGATCACAGAAATGGGAAGAGAAAGAGAGAAATAATATTTAAAACAAGAGGAAGGATAAAGAGAACGACAAAAAGGGAGAGGAACATAGGGCGGGGTGAGGGAGAGGGAGAGAAAGGGAGAAGAGAAGGAGCTATGGAGAGAAAGCAAGAGCGAGGGATTGACACGGAAGTTGAGGGAAATAATGGGTGAAAAAGGACGACAAAGGGAGTGAGAGGAAAAAGCGAGAGAGAGAGAGAGAGAACAAACAAAACAAAAACAAAGACGAGAGACAGGAAGAGAGAGAGAGAGAGAGGGAGGGAACGAGAGAGACAGGAAGGGACAATAACAAAGACAGAGGGAGAGAGAAAGAGCAGGAGAGAGAAAGAGAGAGAAAGATAGAGAGAGAGAACGACAAGAAAGAAATGAAAAGACAAGAAAAGAAAAGAAAGATAGAAAGAAAGAGAGACAGGCAGGGATAGAAAGACAGAAAGAAGAGAGAGATAAATTAAAAAAGAGAGAAAGAGGGGAGAGAGAAAGACAGAGAGAGAGAGAGAGAGCGAGAAAGAAAGAGAGAGAGAGAGAGAGACAGGAAGGGATAGAAAAAGGGAGAGGGAAACAGAGAGAAAGAGAGAGAGAGAGACAGCAAAGGATAGAAAGAGAGACAGAGAGACATAAATTCAAAAGGAGAAGAGGAAGAGAGAAAGAGAAAGAGAGAGAAAGAGAAAGAAAGAGAAAGAGAAAGAGAAAGAGAGAGAAAGAAAAACAGAGAGAAAGACAAAGAGAGAGAAAAAGAAAGAGAGAGAGAGAAAGAAGGGATAAACAAGAGGAGAGAGGGGAGCAGGGAGAGAGCAACAGAAGGAGAGCGGAGGAGAGGGAAAGAGGGACAAAGAGAGAGAGAGAGAGAAAGAGAGAAAGAGAGAAAGAGAGAAAGAGAGAAAGAGAGAAAGAGAGAAAGAGAGAAAGAGAGAAAGAGAGAAAGAGAGAAAGAGAGAAAGAGAGAGCTAAAGAAAGAGAGAACTAAAGAAAGAGAGATACGAGAGAGATAGAGAGGCAGAACCAGAAAGATAAGGAGAAAACGACAGAGAATAAGGAAACAGACAGAGAAAAAGCGGAGCAAGAAAGAAAGACACGAAAAACAAAAACCAAAGAAAGATGCAGAAAAAAAGGAAGGTAAAGAAAAGAAAACACAAATATCAAAATTATGAAGTAATTGCTAAGTGAATTGGATGTACTCATGGGGCCGCTGTTTTGAGCTTTGTACCCTTGGCATGGGGCATCTCAAGCAAGCCAGGGCGCCGCTTCACAGCCAAAGAGAGTTTGGCCCGAAGGGCAAGAGAGCTCCACGGGGCAGCTGGAGCCATAGCATGTGTTGCTGCTCAAATACCTTGGTGCGTGCAGAACGACCAATCGCGTCTGGGGCTCTTTGGGGATTGGGGAATCGTTAAGTGTTTTTGGTCCAATGTCTTGGTGATTTCGGGAACGTGTCCAAGCTCCCTCCTCTCTCTGACCTTGAGGGGGCCAGATTGAGCAAACGTTGCATCCATCACTCCGGGTGTGGCTTGACCTCTTTCCTGATACTGCATGTCGTGCCGAGAGGCGACGTGACACCTTGGGACCACCATCCACCACCCCGTATGTTGAAAGAAATCTGGTACTCGATGCCCTTTACAATATTCTGGAGCTCTTCCGAGACCTGGTTGGTGCCAGAGCCGGCGAGACTCTTCTCATTGGCCAGCGCAGACACGGCTGTCCTCTGGTCAAAGCGGCAGCTGGACTGGTCGCCCTTCCAGCCGAAATAATGTTTGTTGCTGCTGCTGCCCCAGTACATGGCCTGAAAGGCTTCGCCGGAATCAACATTCCTCCGTCGTCGGTGGGATACGTCCGTTGCATCCGAGAACGTGATGCTAACTTGGGTATTTCCCAATGAATCTCCACTGGCCAAGCAAAGGTTGTCCCAAGATCGGATTTCTACTGGGTGCCGGTTGAGCCACCAGCGTTCCTGCTGCGATGAGGCCATATAATCTCGCAAGCTCTGAGTGAGGCTCCCCGGTGTAGCACGAGAACAAGCCACGCACTGTAAAGCCATGAGCCCAGGACCGCCATGGGGATCGACCCACTCTCCATCTTGACAAACAATGTGCTGAGACGGTTTCAGCTCGTTACCAAATCGATTCAAGCCACTGTAACCTTCCGCACAGCTCACTGTGAGTGCCGAGCCAGCACTGAAACTACTGGGCAACGGGCGTTTGAGCTTGGAAGTGATGACTGATGTTTGAGAAGTAAGCATGTGCGTGCAGGTGCCACATTCTGCAACACCATGGCCTCCATGGATCAGCGATGAATCGCACTGCGCAAACAGCTCTTCAAACAAACAGCTGCCCGCCGGATCTGGGCCATTTGCCAGCCACTTTTCCCGCTTGATCGGTTGGCACGCCTCAGCATCTGCAACAAGGCATGCCTCCTGCTTCGCAACCCCAAAGAGTTCCCCGTTGCTGTTGACCTCACGCACCAAGCTGTCACAGGCTTTGTACAACCGACACACTGTCATGTCTGTGTATGTGCCACTGAAATAGAAGCCGCACGTCGTGCTGTCCGTGTCATGCTCGCCACTCTTGCAAGCCGTCTCACACCCCTCCAGTCCAACATTGACTAGAGACTTGATCAGATTGTGGGGTTCGCAAGTGAAGCTGCCAGAAACAATCAGCATGCTTGGTGGGATGTACTGATTGTTACTCCCTGGGGGCATCTTGCCATAGGTCTCCTCGCTGACAGGACTGTTTGCACCGAATGCGCCAGCGAAGCATTCACATGCTGATAAGGTGTAGAAAGGTGTCACATGTGCTGGTGCATCCGGGTCGTTGAACACAAATGCCCCACTTGCATCATCCTTTGAATTTGACTTGGACTTTTTGCGGTCTTCCAAAGGGCTGCTGCACTCTTGGGCAACCGGTGCAAGAACCACTTCATCCAGCAAATCAGCGATCTCCACCACATCATCAGAAGCGGACCAAATCTGAGCATAGACACTATCAGACAGAGCTGGGCCAGAGTAGACCTGCTGCTCTGCAACATTGATGATATAGAAGCCATCGACATAATGAATCCCAATTGATATGCTATTGGTCGCTGGAAGGATCAAAGCATTGGATGTGTGACCGGTCGTAGCAACTACAAGATCACCGTTTTGCACAAGGATCCCAGCATAGTTCTGATCAGCGGTCGTAGTCGTAGTGGTTGTGGTAGTTGTTGTTGTGGTGGTGGTAGTTGTGGTTCTTCGCCGTCTGGATCTGCGGCGTCGGGCGTCTGTTGTCGTCGGAGCCTCGGTGGTTGGGGCAGTGGTTGTCGTCTCAGCCGCGGTGGTCGGAGCCGCGGTGGTTGGGGCCGCGGTAGTCGCGGAACTCCTCCTCCTCCTCCGACTCCTCCTCCTCCTCCCCCAGGAAGTCTCCTCTGCATCTTGCTCTTGGGATCCAGCCAGCTGCTCGTAAGCTATCAAGCTCGATTGCAGCTGTGATGGCTTGTTGCCGGGCGAGGTTGTGAGGGCAAACATGTGCTTCGATGCAGAAGAAAGTGTGAATGTCACACTGAGGTGCTTGGCATGCCGCTTTGTCTGCGCGGAAAGCCAGCCACTTTGCCCTTGCGATCGCTGAAGCTTCCTTCCGTCGCGCAGGAAACCACCTGTCTCCCAATCCTTGCTGCCAACTTGCTGAAGGTATCCCGGGTCCACAATGGTCGTGGGCACAACGGAAGCCAGCTCGTCCAAAATCTCATCTCCAATGCCGTAAGAGCTTGAGGAGGCAGGATTGGCCATGCAAAGCAAAACCTCTCCCCTGAGCTCGACATAGTCGCTTTCGATGAAGTCCAAGGGACTGCTCCTTCGAATCACCCATGCAGAGTGATCTGGGCAAGGTGAAGTGCTCTCGCGAGACGACTGCCAGGGAGCCAAGTAGAGAGTTGATGATGGCACCTCGCCTGACTTCGCATAAAACGGCAACAGGCCATCGCTCTCTCCGCCCTCTGGAGGGCAGTACTCGCCCTCAAGAAACGCCGCCCCGCCCCCAAGCTTCTCCACCGAAAAACAGCCGCTCTGCGCATCACAGCTGTTGATGCGAACGAAGGCACTGGAGAAGTCGGGAGCAGCACAACCCCGACAATCAATGGATGTGGCCTGCATGGGGGTGGAGCACTGGCCATTGAGGCAAAACTCTTTGCAAATGCCTATGCCGCAAGTCAAGCAGGCTTCAGGGCAAGATGCCTCTGACACGCGTCGCAAGGAGTAACAATCACCACTCTCCTGATAAGCCGAACATCCAGAATCAGCACGACAGCGAGAGCGGCAAGTTCCATGGCCTGTCAGAGTATTCAGGATCTTCCACTTCTTGGACTCTGTCCGTTGCCAGCAAGTGTCATCCCGGATGTTCACTTCAAAGCTGTGCTTGATGAATTTGGGAGTGGAGCCCAGTGGCTGGAAAGCAAGCTCCCCAAAGACTGTGCATGAGAGACGCACTTTGCAGCGCGCGGTGTTTGCGCAATTCTTGAGCACCGCCATGTCTGGAATGCCTGTCAACTCCCCAGTCAGCATGCCGAGACGAAATGCAACATGGCCCTGCACGACCACATCTCCAGTGGTGAGATCGAAAGTCACTGACTGCCCGCCAGTCGCATCGCAAGCGGCATAGAATGCGATTGGGGGCACCTTGTGATCGGAGCCATCTGACAGGATGAGCGGGGGCAGAGACCGGCCAGCTACTAGGTTCAAGACAGAACCCACAGGCTTCTTCTTGCCTCCCAAGATTTGGTGAACACTCATTGAAGTCCAATGGTCTGGGTAGGTCACTGAGAGCGTCAAAGCCTGGTCCGCAGTCCCGTTGTGGGCTGTCACAGTGCACAAAGCTGCTTCAGGAACAGGAGCTGAACTGCTTGACCGCAAGGTCCCATCTGTCAAGATCTCCAGCCAGGGAGCATCGGGCGTGCAAGCCACTCGCCAGTTGCTGTAACTGACACCTTGCTTCGTCCTGGGGGCATAGCCATCGGATGGAAAGGACAATATTTTCGCATTGTAGGCAAAGTACTGGAGATCAAGACTCACAGTGGCATTGGCAATGAGACCCTCAGACTCCTCTTGCAACGCCTCAATGGAACACTCGATTGCTGTTGGCTCCTCTGCAATGGGCGTGCCCTGAATCTGGCCGGTGACTGCATCCAAGCTCAACCCATAGCTGTGCAAATCACAACCAGATCCTTCCAGGACACCTGCAACCCGGTAGCTGGAAGCCGTTCGTGGGTGTGGAAGATCAGTCATGGGCTCTCCCAGCACAAAGGAGCGGCTGATTGATGAATATCGGAAAGGAGTGCTGGCGCGCATGCCGCCACCACATGCACAACAGGCATCTTTTGCACCTTAGCAGTCTCATCGACAAAGCGCGACTCTGCTTATTACACAGCTCGATGCAGTTGCTCGGAACAGCATGCCCAGCCCACAAAATGCGAACACATCCCAACACTGTCACGGTAATGCTAAACAAGGAGCTAACGCCAGCAAAGCGGTAGTCCTCCAACTGCATGTGCTGAACGAAATTGGCCTGAAATTTCGAGGTCGAAATGACTCCGTTTTCGCACGCCTTGGTGGCAACATAGTGCTCACATGCGTGGCCGGCAGGGTCAAGGAATCCAGGAAGATCCCGGCAAGCTCTGCAAGTCTCTGGGCCCTTGTGGAAGCCACCTGCGCAGGCAGAGCACTTGCCACCGCTGATCGTGGCACAACCGCTGCACTTGATGCCATTGCAGCAAGTCACCGTGGCTGAACCCTGACTGGAGAATGCCACCAATGTCGTTTCCTGCACGTTGCACTCGGCCCCTGAGTACAGCAAACTCACGGAAGAGTTCTGCTGGCCGCGGGCTGCTTGCGATTGGTCCGGCATCTTCCTGCAGGAATCAATGGAATTTGGAACAAGTAAGCACAAGTGACACTTCTGGCACAAACTTCGTAACCCGTCCTGGCTTTGCATTGCTCGAACAAAGGACCTTTGGAAAGCTTCTGACCCAAATCGGGCAGCTCTGGCAGGTCCAGGTTCGGAGAGGCAGCCTCTAATGCCATGACTTTCTTCTTTTGTAGCATGGCCGGCGCGACCGCAGAGCATTCCTCTTCGATAGCACCGCCATAAACCAGCAAGGAAAGGCTGGCGAGATATGCAAATAACATACTGCTGCTCGCAGTCTGTTGACGGTAAGAGGTGGGAAGGCCAAAGCACAGCTCGAGCCAAGCTAAATTGCAAGTGAATTTGCCTTGCCTCACTCGTGTGAAGACCCAGACGATAAACAAAGACACCCACGCGGTTGGTTGTCAAAATGTTGGTTCCCAGCTTTGAAACGCAAATCGCCATTCCATGGGGCCCGTATCATTCGGGCCATATGAACATATAACCATTTCGGCACAATAGGTTTGACTAAGAAACGTACAATACTGACAGGCGCGCTAGCGCGGGCCTTTTCTTAGCAGCTGTCGGATGAGCTATCCGAGCTTGTAGAGCTGCTGCTATATGACCTTTTTACACACAAGACATCCCAATGTGCTACACCACATCTTCAGCAAGTAACAAAGCGGAATTGGTTCGTGCTACGGGCAGAAAGTTTTGCTTAACCTGACTTACAACTTTAGCCTAGAAACATGCAAGTGGCTTCTTGGGCATTGCCTCCAACAAGGCGCGTGCCCCAGTGTTCAAGTTGGCAACTGCCTGCTAACGCGGAGCTAGCGCGAAAAACTGCCTATGTCTTCAGATTTTTCGCAGGGTCACGTGTCGCAAGGTCAGGTACAAATCTTGTGACAGGTGCAATGCTTTCGGAAGGGCAGACATGGCAGGCGAAGCACTTTCGCAAAAGACACGTGCAGATTTCGTGGCAGATGCAGCACTTTCGCTTTGCGAGGAAGCAATGCCTCGAGCCTTGAGAGCGACCGGACAGAAGGGTCACGCGCGCGCATCTCACATGCCACGTCAACCAACGTCCCCAACCTAGCGCCGAGGTAGCGCGAAGCTAGCGCTGCCAGTGGGATTTGCATGATTTAGGTAGGGGCCCGCTTCATTTCGAAAAGGAAAAGCAAGATGCAACGGAAGCCACGTGCTTTGTTCACAAGCCATAAGCGTCTTTTCTTTCATGAATCTGCTCTGGCCTCAATTTTGCACACATTTACCGCGCCACCACAAAGTATACCAGCATAGACCCCAGATAGAAAGAATGTGCTGTCAGCCAAGGAGTGCTCCGTGGGCCGCACACAACACGCACCATGGCTTGGAAAGCGATGACAACTCTCTACAAGCCTCTGACAGTCAGAGTCAGTTCTTGCCGGAGAATAAGTCAGGGTGGAACTAGACGCCCAATCCGACGCAGCGACACGTGTGCCATGCGGCCAGAAGACTCACAGCAGAGTGCTCCGTAGGCCGCTGAAGACAACGCGCACCTGGCTTGGAAAGCGATGACAACCCCCCACAACCTCTGACAGTCAGTTCTTACCGGACGTCAGCATTCGGCAGCTCGATTTTGTCTCTCAGCCAAGTTCAGTCTATCCTATTAAGCCATGGTGGAACTAAAGATGCCCAATCCACTGCAGTGACACATGTGCTATGCAGCCAAAATAATTCTCACAGCAGGCCGAACGCGCACCGTGACTTGGAAAGCGATGACAACCCCCTACAAGCCTCAGACGGTCAGTTCTTACCGGACTTCAGAATTTGGCAGCTCGATTTGGTCTCTCAACCAAGTTGTGGTAATTATACGTCATGGTGGAACTAAAGATGCCCAATCCAATGCAGCGACATGTGTGCCATGCGGCCAGAAGACTCACAGCAGGGCTTCGTAGGCCGCCGAACACAACGCGCACAATGTAGATTGGAAAGCGATAACAACACCCCAACAAGCCTCTGACAGTCAGTTCTTACTGGACGTATAAATTTGGCAGCTCGATTTTGTCTCTCAACCAAGTTGGCAACACCGCGAGAACTTGAGGCAAAGGCCGTTCCGTTGCGTGGTGGACAACAACAGGAACAGCGCTCCACTGGAGCCCCGAACAAGAATAGGGCAATGCGGCTGCGCAGAAAGTAAGGAGCAAGGGAGGTACTGAAGAAACTCAACAAGAATCCCCTTACACGCGCTTGTGTTGTCTGGCTTCCCTTGGTTTCGATTATGTTTCGATCAAGAGCCGTCGGCTCAACCTTACTTTTGCTCTGAGTCTCAGCCGCTCCCGCACACCCAATTTCACACAAAACACGGCTGCTCGTGTGGAGCACTTCTTGTCGCAGGGGTACAACGGCGGGTGCACTTGAGCGGGTGTGCTTCGTTTTGGCAGGCTTGGTTACAGTATTGAGCGAGTGCTTCTGGGCGGACGGATGTTGTCGGCGCACGGACGCTGCAACTGGACTAAGACAGAAAATGCGCGTTTCGCAACCGTGCCATTTGGGAATGTGCGGTGAAAAGCGCGTGTGTCTAGGTAAACGTAGCCACAAAAAAACAAAAAACCACAAACAACCACTCACTCACTCACTCACTCACTCACTCAATCAATCGATCGATCAAATCAAATCAAATCAAATCAAATCAAATCAAATCAACTCAAATCAATCAATCAATCAATCAATCAATCAATCAGTCAATCAATCAAACAAACAACTCAAACAATCAACAGACAAAGAGACACACGAAGACACCGACAGACTCAGACAAACCAACAGGCCAAAGCCGACAAGACATGGACAGAAACAAAAGACTGACAGACCGACAAACCGGCAGACCGCCAAAGCAACAAATAGATGAACACTGACAGAAAGGTACGGATAAGCACATGTCGCAGCTGCCCAACAAGCTAAGCGAAGCTGAGTCAGCCATTTTGAAGCTCCGCTGCGTCAATTCAGTGTCCGGTTGACAGAACCAACACGTACACAGCTTCACTGGCCTCGAGGACTCGAGACTTCGGTGCTCAGCGGAAACGAGCGAATTCAACGCGAAAGACCGCGAAGCGCAAAAGAAAGCCACGCGCCAAAGGATTGCTTGAATATGTCATCCAAACAAAACATGTCGGGAAAATGCACGAATCACATCCCACTATCCAGAGATCTTAAACTGTCAGGGAGAGATGGCGAAATCATTGCCAAGATCAGCTAAACAATCAAATAGCAACACGGCCACCAGCAACCAAGTAAAGAAATTAAGAGCTCAAGCGCAGAGTTGGGGGCCGACGGCAAACACATTTCCCAACTATGTGGACATCAGCGCATTGCTCAGCTTGCGTGCGCCCTTGCTTTTTCTGGCCACGTACGGCGCAGGTCCAACATCTGGCATCATAGCCTTCACAGCACAGCGAAATGATTTGCCCCATAGCTCCTGCGCAAAACTGGGTGGCAACGCATTGCAGCCTGTGCAATTTCAAACGCCCCAAAGGACGGCGGCATTCAGAGCAGATTTGCCGTTGGGAAGTACCGCATTGCAACCTGGCTCCATCTCATTCAAGCAAACCACCATCTCTCCTGCTCGTAGAGGTCGAGTTCTGGAGAGAGTCGTGTTTTCGAGTTTTTGAGGCTGCAAGGAGCACACCATCGCTCCAGTCTCGCTGGCCAAGTCAAACTTGGTGCCATTCCTGCCCTCGCTCTCCAAAAGCAACTGGGCCATGCCCTTCACCAACACCACCTCGGACATCTTGGAATCCTCAGGCAGGGGGACAAAATTGAAAGGAACACTTGCAGGAGCAACCTGCTGGAACAACTTGGAAGCAAACCTCCGGATCCGTCAGAGAGTTCCCTCACTCTCGCACCTTGGTGAGGTTTCCCCACAGCGCCCAGCCAGCGGCCTCACATTCTTCCGGAGCCTTCGCGCGCGTCAACAGGGCCTCCTCCAGGTGTTTCTTAAAGACTGTGCCAAGCGCGCTGTCCGGAGTTCGTGCTGAGCGCACCACCTCCTGCAGGTTCGACAATCTAATCGATACCCCTAACCCCATCCACATGAACGACCGGCAAAACCTCCAAGGAACACCTGCATTTTGTTTGTCATCGTTTTTTGGAGTTCGCTATATCGCTTCACAGCGCTTTAGCATCATCCGGTTCAGAATCAGGGAAACTTTGTGCAAATCCGATCGCTTTGGCTGTGGCGCGTTGCACATTGTGATACATGCATCCTCTGCGGACTGCAAGCGACGCACCGAATGAACATTTGTTGGGGTCCAACCTGCCTTCCCCCAGTGAAGATGCGCGCGCAAGAGTAAGACAAGGCCCTGTTGGACGCCGATTGAAGTTGTATCTGCCCTTAGAATCCCAGCGAAAAAGGCTCCATCTAGTTATCACTATATCGTTTCCCCTGATTTTCTACACGTCTGGAATCAACATGTGCCCGATGACCGTGTTTGACGGAGAGTCTTGCCGGGCGTCCGGTCCAGCCCTGGTCATTATTCTAGCCGTCAGAGAAAACGTCAACACTGATATTATGCGAAGTGCAGCAAGGGATTTCAATGGAATCCACTCAGAATGGATCAGGTGCCAATTAACTCGCAAATTGATACGGTTTTTCAACCAACATATCAAGTTGTTGTTTTTGGGAGCCCTGCAATATGACTGCAGTTGGTGTTGGTGGGACGTTTAGAACTGGCTTAGTATTGCCCGCGCATTTGGAGATTGGGGGCTGGACAAGAGCTAGGAGCCTTTCAGGCCGGTGTTTTGGGAGCTGTGGAACCAGATTCGTCAAGCACGCTCCAAGCACAGCTTCAAAACCAAACAGGGCAAAAGAACCCGAAAAGGCAGAGGCAATTGAAACATCGCCCGTTCCCCAAAGACATGGGAGCCAAGCCTGCATCTCCGCGTCCAATCTCTGCCAGGATGAGAGCATCAGCTCAGCGTCCTTGACGCCGGCGCGCGCCATGCCGTGCATCTCTTGCCGCATCTGCAGGTCTTGCACGAGCTGCAGCGCCGCCCATGCCCTGGGCATGATCGGGCGCATGCGGCGTGCCAGCTCCCGGAAGAGCTGAGTGTGAACGCCTGATAGCTCTTTGTGCAAGGACACGATGGGGACGCTGCTTTGAGGTGCCGAGTCCAACCTTTCCCGGGAAAGCTTCAAAGCAGCTTCTTCCACGATAGAGCGAAGGAGGCCGCCATCAACCACGACATCAGCCAACAGGCCCACCTGCTGAGTGACATGGCTGACAGCCACCCGGGCCTGCTTGGCTGCCTTCTTGCCAGAAGACATGGCTTTCTGGGATGCAAGTTGTAGCTCCCAATAGTCCGCACTGCACTCGGACAAGTACTGGTTCGTGAGTTCTGTGGCGTGCGCTACTAGCTCTACCTGCTCGCTGGCAGCATCCAAGTAA